GTTAAACTTTTTAAACAGGTGTAATGCAAACGGGTTGGAGTGCGCGTGGGATGGTGAGCGGTATGTGGCGGCGTGCGGCGCGGCTCAGCTTGCTGTACTCTTGGCTCTTGAGAGAGAGACCGGGCCGCCCCCGCCCCCCGCCCCCTCTCCCGGCGACCTCTAAGGAGGATCTCTTCTTCACTTTTCGCAGCTCCTCCTACCACCTACCGCCCCCACGCGTCCGCCGTTCTCTTCTCCAAACTCCGAGGCTACGGTGCCGCTATCCGGCTATCCGGTTATCAATCCTCCTCTTCTGACTCCCTCCGGCCGCCACCTCTTTCGCTTCATCCACCTCACTCCATATTCGCTCTCTTTTATTTATCATTTGTCCAACACGGCACTTTTTAATTCTCGTGCTTTCTCATCCGTATACTTTCGCCTGTGATCAGTTTTGACGATATGTCTGTCTTGCTTCCAAATGTTGAACTAAACTTCCACGAATACAAATCAAAGCAATATTAAATTTATTCATTACTATTTTAATTATTAGTTATTATATCGCTTTTGTCGATTTTTGTAACTTTTAGTACATACATACACACCTCAATACTTCGTTAGTTAGGTACTTCTTACCTACCTTCATGTAGAGACGTACATTGATAAAATTAGAGTGCGTGGATTGCATGATAATCCTAATCAAAAATTTAACTATCCTGTTTTAATTAATTTAAACTTCTATTTAATTACCATGACTTCGAGTCGCTAAAGAAATTAACGTATTAGATCGTATCAAAAGTAGGTCACTTGGAGAAAGACATACTACTACTACTTAAATTGATATAAAACCCTCCGCTTTATTCAACTGATTGTAATAATAACTTTTTCTCGAAAAAAATATACTAAACCATCATAAAAGTTCCATACAACAAAAGAGAAACATTAGGTTGTTTAACTAGCCATTAAAACGAAACCGCTATTGCCACCACAAAGCCCGTTACCCGTTCGCAGTTTGTGTTTCGGGTGCCGTCAAGTTTTGCCACCTCCGTGTTTTCGCTCTCCTGCTCCTTTCCCGACTTAGTATCACTTAACTGGTATTTAGTCGTATTAGCAACTCCAAACTAATTATTGCGTGTTGTTTCTCATTTTGACGGAACCAGAATCTGCAACCGTTCCCGTTCAGCAGGCACGGTTTCGCGAAATTTCACCAATTAATTTCATGCACCAATTGATTATTTAAATGCATCTTTATATTATAGTCTATACTGGTTTATTTTTAAAGTGCTGATCGAAATTAAAGGTAAAAAAAGTTTGGTTTTTTTAGACGAGTGTAGATCGATACTCACTTAATAATTTAATTGTAATTGGAAAATTAATGTACTTATTTGAAGATTTATTACTGGTATTTAGGCTAAGCCGGTGCTGTTTTCAAGTCTTTCCCTACGATAAATTAGGTACACCTTTATTTATAGTATGCCACCCATGTCTATTGCCACTGGGAATTTATCGGTTCTTTTGCTTTTAGTTGCTTATTTGCTTGTTTACCGGGAGTTCTACCAATTTTCTAGTTACTTGTCTTTTAATCCCTTGTTTTCATTTAATTACTTTCCAGAAATGAATAACGACGAAGGTTGTGTAAATAGTTTAATCAATATTAAGAGCGTCGGAATTAATAACGCGATGTTAAATGTATTCAGGATTAATGTAGGTGTTTAATTTGGTAAATAGGATGCATATGAGTGGAAAATTAGCTTCATTCTGGTATTGTAAAAATTGGTGGGAGCTTTTATTTAAAAAATTGGTGGACAAACTGGTGAAAATGCGCCCATAATACAAATTATAGGTTTTGGAGTAATTACTGAATTAGAAGTGATAAATTTTATGCAAATAAAATGATTTAGTGCCTGAAGTTAAATTAAATTTTACTAAATCTTGTTATTATCCCTACATAATAACACGGGTGAGAGTCACTTTTTGAATAATCTTGCTTTTATAGGTAGGAGATATAAACGAAGTGGGTATGTGTAAATTTTGGCCATGCAAAGTGTTTGATAAGGATTCGTTAGAAAACATTTACGAACCTTAGCAATTTATTTGCAAGCTTATTAGTTATTAATTATTATTATGCATATACATTTCATATACAGAATACACATAACAATATAAACACAATCATGATATATTCCATTTTAATAAAACAAATCCAGTATAGCAATTATTTTAGATTCAGAGTTTGTTCTTTCGCTTAATTCGACCGAAATATAATTAGTCATAACGAGTACCTATCATGTTTGCTGTTAGGCAATAAATTATTAAAATTAGTTTTACTACACAAAACATTCTTGTTGACTAATTTTGGATGATTAATACACAATTCGTGTACAAACGGCTCGCATCAAAAACGTATAGTCGACGTGCATATAGGTATAGAGCATTGTAATATTACATCATTCGATCGCCCACTAAAATAAACACAACAGGGTTGGTGGATTTTCTCTTTATATTCCGAACCGTCTGATCGAAGAATACAGAATTAATAGTACGTTGGAAATCAGCTGAAAAAGAGATTATCGTACTATTAGAAGCTTTTCTGTTTTTATGAGTACAATCTGCCATATAACGTGTTATTTGAATTATTTTAAATTCGATGAAGCAAAAATGATTACTCAAAGAAATAAAAAAATATAAAGATTCTAAATTTTTATGAAACTTTTCGCACATTTAGTTAAGTACTTCTAAATTAATTTTAAGACAATTAAATGAAAGAAAATTTTAATTTATGTAATACCTAGTAAGTTGTTTATTTCCTGTATATCCTGTAAGATAAATAGAATGTTCTAAACGGATCATATCTACAAACATTGCAGCCATTTTCATTGTGTACATTTATTACTGTTGTTTCAAGGAACTGAGATTTTTATGTAAACACACAAAGAGTCTTTGCTTGTATTCTTCAAAATGTTTGTGAGGTTTGTATGAGAAAAATGCACCTATTTACATTGAATGTATTTACCTTTGTTTAGAACATTATTTTGTTGACGACAACTTTGTCGGCATTCAGCACTTAAAGGAATTTATTCACTCGCCACAAAACTAATATTGTTGTGAATTTTCATTAAATTTTTAAATCAATTATCGAATAAGATTACAAGTAGTAACAAAGGCAACTATGCCTAATTAGCAAGATTTGAAACGACCGAACTAAATTTATACGTTCAGTCTGGCTCAAGCCACGTCTTGCATTTTCAAGTTTGTTAAGTTTCCGGATATAAATGAATATTTAATGGCTTACCTTAATTATCAACCACCAGCCTTGATACCTCGGCATTCTGTCTCGCAATTCGTATTTTATACAACTGGTTCCTTAATTTCTCCATCGTTCGCCTTAATGGTAACTCAATTTATTTTTGTCACCACAGTCCATTTAATATTTTTTAATACTGCTGTATTTATTAATAAACTTCTATACTTCCGAACCTTTCTAGTCGTAAATAGTTCGTTTCCTATTAATATTCATTCGTCGAGCTTACCCAATTTGATATTCTTACGTTTCATTTATCTCCTATTCGACATCTGCGAATGAAGTTACCTTTGAAGTAAAGCCGGTAATGCGATTATGAAACTCACGGTATCGCTTCTGCGACTGCTGTTCCGGATTCCCCCATTTAAAATTACGTCAGTTATTATTTAACAAAATTTTCCCAAACAAGAACAGAGCTAATCAAAACACTTCTTAATTAATATTGGACAAACAGGCAATTCTCGTGAAATTTACTTTGTTCGATTTCTTGTTATTAGGCATTCTCGAATGCGTTTTTATAAGCAACAATATTTGTGTGCAATATTTTAACCGGATTATAACTTTATGACTCGTGTTGTAAGCTTTAACCTCGTGAATAATACAACTCATTTTGCAGCCAATCAAAGGTATATGGTTTTAATGTCAGTGTCATGACAACGCAAAAAAAATTCATTCTCTACATTGAAATTAATAAATGGATATTTTTCTGTGAACTTTTATTGACTAACAGCTGATATTTTGCTGTTAGTATACGTACAGATTTTTTGAAAAAATGCAACCCTATTCAAAGGGAATGTAGGTTTTATATTTACATATATGCGGATTTTTTTCTATAATCAAAAAATTTCCATCAATAATTTAACCATTACAGGTGATCATTTCAACTATTTAATAATGTCAAATGAAGGAAGTTAATTGAATTGAATTGCGATAAATTCTTCTAGTCGTAAAGGGCTTAACCATTAATTGCAACCTGTTATGTTGATGTTTGCTGATATTCGCAATGTTGTCGCACAACCTCTTATTTATTCGTAGGCTTATTTCCAGAATACGACACCTGACATTTTAATATTTGTGATCCTTGCCCGATATTTATCGGAAATTTATCTACATGCGTTATTGGGGAATTCACGACCGGGAATTTTTGTTTTACATATTGAAATATTTGATAAAATTTCAAATAAATTCGACCGGAAAAATATTACAGAGTGAAAAACACAATCGTAAACGCTCGTAATGAAAAGAAGAGTAGGAAGGAAAGAACATCATCTAATAAATATCCAATGATCGTAACGGGAAATCGATCTCTTTAACGACTGAGCCCATTTCCTGTTATGTCTAATAGTCCGGACTAGTAAAAGTAAGGAAAAAGGATACCTTGTCAGCCTAATGCCTTTACTGGTCCGCCAACAGTGCTGTTTTTATTTCGGCTTCTGCCGAAATAACAGAAAACTTTTCGACTCAAATTCGACCGATAAAACAATGACCAACCATCTCTTTGTTATTTATTTTTGTCCAATTTTTTTGATACAAAATATCCATGTAGATATTTTGTTACCTTTGATATACCGAACTAAAAATTTTTTGTATAATTATCTAAAATTTTTTGTCGTTAATATAGTAAAGCATTCCCACGCAGTTGCGATTCATTTCCGTTGCAAATATTTTTTATCATAAATGGATGCTTCTGTATCAAATGATAAAAAATGGTGATTTACAGTCAGGATTTGAATCGGTATAAATAGTCTGCAATATTTATTACATTCATTTAGTGAAATCATTTGGTGTTGACGATTTCTTCAAAAATGTTTATTCAATTATTCCTTGTGTGTTTCTTGGTATTTGCGCAAAATGCCAATGCTACTCCCGTTGGGGGATACGTTCCTATTAACGGTAAGCAACTATTCAATTTAATCAGATAAAAAATATTTTATTCAAAATTCGTAATATTTTGTAGATAAAGAAATGATCTTCAGTTATTCACCCAGTACAATGGAATTGCAAAGATACCAGGATAGTTTGTATTATTTTCAAACGATATTTAAGGTACATACATATACACATACCATAGTTACAGTACATAGGCCCGTATTCAGCGCCTCTGTTTAACTTAAACGTGACTCTAAACGTCTCGAGTCCCTAGTTACTCCATAACAACAATGTAAATCTGTCAAGTTAAAGACGCGACTCTAGAGACACTCTAAAGTTAAACAGAGGCGCTGAATACGGGCCGTAGCATTTCAAAAAATTATAAATACTGAATATTTTTCAATTTTTAGGGAACTTTCTTTCAAGCAATGCAGTTCTGCAAATTTCATGGAATGGAACTTGTAAGTATCGAAAGCAAAGATGAAAATGATTTTTTGCACGAGGCGCTCTCCAAGTTTTGTAAGTATATTTCCGAGTAATTACTCTGTCAATTATATGTAAGTACTTATAATTTTTCAGTAACTGCTGGAGATTACTTATTCTGGTCCTCTGGTATAAAGGTTGAACCTGATAATCGCTGGGAATGGATGGGCACAGGGAAACCCATATCTTATTTCAATTGGTTAGCTGGTCAACCCGGTAATACAGCTACTGAACGATACTTGGAATTGAGACATTTAAATGCTAATAGAGAGATAGTTTATAACGATCAAGTTGTAACTCAAGCAAATTATGCCATCTGCGAGGTTTCAATTCCCAAGACAATCAATTTATAATTAAAATCATAAATTACTTAACAGAAAATATGTTTATGTTTACGAATACCTTGTTAGTCAAAAACGAATGATCAAGTAATAAATATCTGAACACTTTCTCCGTTGACTTCGTCGTTTATTTATTCCTCAAGCTTTAGCTCGAAGCAGCAAATCAGTTTATTACCCTTCTAATTCATTACTCCCAAAACTTCGCTCCAGTCAAGTGAAATTCGGAATTGTATTTATCGAAATTAGTCAACTGAGGGTTGTTTTGTTAAGACTCAATCGATCAACATTCGCAGGAGCTGTAAAGTACTTTTATCTTTCGTTTTAAGTTAAAAAGTTTTCATTCTTATTATCCCGTTGATTTGTGGGATCTATAGTCCAAGAGATAAATTTTATTTTATTTTCTCGACGCAATTAAAACAATAATAGTTAAAAGTAAAAAAAAATAAAAAATTAATTAAAACGAAAGAGAAATCGATATTTACGTCGATAAGTTTTCTTAATAAAATTCCGCAAAGACGGGCTAATAGCGAAAGTTTACGATATGAATTGAAAGTTTTCCACATGTAAACTAAGAGGGCGAAGACAAACGAAATACTTCTATAATGATTTATAGTCCCGCTCGTTTAAGGTAAGACCAACCCTTTATTCGCAAAGCGGAAACTAACTAAGAAGTGACAGAAGGTATTTGCTGATATATATTCCGGCTGCAAAGTCTCTTCTAAGACGTTTTGCGCGACAATATAGAACCAACTAATGCTTTTCTGACCAAACTACATAAATAATCTGCGAGGGGCAATTAAGATAAGGACGTGTTTAATATTTCAATGTGCTTATAGGAATAGATATTGGGGTCCGTGAGTATATATTGCTTAGGTGTTAAGACTATTGTAAATCCCCACCACTTTAATTAATTCCGAATTTTCCTTCCCTAATATTATTGCCTTCGCGACTGTATCGGTATACAACTTCACGCCATATTTTAAAATAGAAATTAAATCAATATAGAGTATACCTATCTTTTTTTACAGGGTGATTTTATTGATCGTTGAGCCAATATTACATTTTGTGTTTTCCGTATCATAATATTAGTTCCTTTTTGATCGATTATTTAATTATTACCATCATTATTATATTTTTTCAACAATCTTTCAGCATTACGCAAACTTTGCTAAATATTATAATATACAATGCAGTTATCATCGACTGTTAGTATTCTATATTTGATTTGTTTACTTTTTTAGCATATGGCGAGCAACAGCGTATCGGTCAGCGTACATACAAGAATAGTGTTTCAAAATTAATAGGCAATATTGTAATAGCAATAGATGTACCAATCATGCTTCCACTGGTTATTGAATTATATTTGCCATATGGCGATGTGTTGCATTTAACAAAATTTTGATGGATTTTAGTTTACAGTTTACAGTAGTATACATTAATGGGACGTATTTGAACATTGTGTACACATATTTAAACCGATTATTATGCTTTTTACGGTTTTATATTTCAGTAATTTTGGACTTTTCACTATTTCAGGTTACAAATTTTGTCTGTACATTTCAGCCCTGCTTTAGATGTATACATAAAGACGTCGTAGCATAATTTTCCGACGTTTCCCAACTACACCCTAGTTCCATTGCATTTCCTCATCTCATCACTCGTACAGTTTATCAAAAAGACAGCCCTTAGCCTTACCTGTAGTAGTTCGTTACGTTTCACATCAAATGAATGTTCGTTACCAATTCTCATAAGAGTTATGGTCCTCTGCTACGTGATACTGACGCTTAATTTTAGATGTTTCCTCAGTCAAATTTATTCCTACGTAATTTTCAACATCCGAATGGGACGATCCCCGTCTTATACTCTCCTTTGTTTAAAAAAATGTCTAAGAAACGCGTTCATTACGGAAGGGTTGACTTGACGGTTCTTTAGTTTAAATAGACAATATTATTTCGCAGATTTTACGAGTTGGGTAATTAATCAAAAGCGTTTAACTAACATAACAAACCGAATTCGGCATGCCCGCATCCGAATTAACGAAGATATATGTCCGGCGTTGGTACGGCGGTCTCGCATCTTGTCAATGACCGAGTGAGAAATGGACATTTTGGCCTTTGTCATCCGAATAATGACTCCTTGGTAGATAAGGCGGACAGTCAATTCCGATGGTCACTTGTGTGCATCGTATTTGTATTGTCCGCCGCGGGCGAATCATTGTGGTCCGCTAAATGGAGTGTGAAGCGATAGTGAGAGTGACCAACAGACTCGCGCTGACTTATCTCGGTCGCAAACAATACACGTACCATCGCCGCGAATTTTGGATTATATTCGTGTGTTAAGAAATTGCCCTAATATAAAAAACATGTAATCTTCCGCGAAACGGCCGCGACCGAAACGCCCTATACATCTTAAATTTTAACGATGGCACAAACAGAACGTGATGCCGCTCTCGGCGAAAATATCGGTTGTTTCACCCCATTCGGGTTGTAAGGACGTTTACGAAGCTTGCATAGAAATTAGCGAAAATGCCCACCGATATCCCCGAAGATTCAACTTTACACTCTTCAGGCCTCACCATAAATTTTCGCGCTACCTGGGCTGCTCCCTCAATTTATGCGGCTACATACGAAATAATAAAATTACAAAGTTTTTTCACTAGATATTCTCAACGTACGAGAATTTTATATTTTTTATACTTGCATTATCATCGTCAATTACCAGATACTTTCTTTAGGTGATATGTTTCTTAAACACACGTTTCTCTTTTTATTTCCCGTAGGCGAACAATCTTTTTAGACGTGCAAAATCCTTGATGTATAATGTACATTTCCGAAGCATCGACACTACAATAGCTCTTATATGTCCAAGTAATGCCATCACATTTATATGGAGTTCTTATGTTATTAAGGTGGAGTGAAACGCGGATTTGGGTGTACAGCACGTCCTTTTCCAATCGTCCTGGTCTTCTAATACGCCCTGCGAGACCTCTTATCCTCCAGAGGACACATCACTGTCCCTACCTTATTTCTGTTATCAAGTAGGATCTACATAATATTGATATTCAGGATATTCAGCGGCACGACAAATTTCTTTTCAGTTTTACGCCTATTGTTTCTTACGGGCTAACGGTTTATCCGTTATACGTGTTTAGGGAGGATTTTCATCGTAAAAGCCTACTAAAAATTTATACTTATATCTATAGGGTTTGCTAATAAAATAAATGTATTATAGGCACTTGATATTTGTTTTCTAAAATATAACTTTGTTTTGAATTTAAATCGGAAATTTCTAATTCGTGAATTAGTAAATGAAAACCGTCTAATGGCAAGAAAATGCAAATATTTATTTAAGTGGCTGGTTGGCGTAACTTCAAGATAAACGAGATAATGTGTGGCATAGTAAACTAGTCAAGACGAATAAGACGGCTAGACATAAGAGTAGACCCTATGGGTTAATCACAGCCTCAATTCTGCTAACTAATTTGCATTCGTTCTTGTTTGCTCTTGGTTTGAGTTCAGTCTAAAGATACGGAAACTCCCGGTAGTAAGTAACTGCACATGAGTCCAAGATTAATCTATATCACATATCACACTCATTTAGATACAATAGATAATGCATATCATAAACTTTATATAATTTTATTTAACTTAAATTAACGAGTTTGTTCAGAACAATTATTAGAAACAAAAAAATTTTAATTATCAAGTAACAAAAGATTCAGTTAACAAAATATTCCAAAACACAAAGCGGTTTGAAAATTCCGAAACCATTAACAAAAAAATTAATTAATCCTCATACATTAACTTAAATAAATAATATCACTTAATTGCTTCATCTGAATTGGTTTAGTTGCAAATAATTGTCGTGAACAAAAAATATCACTGCGGTAGGGTTCATTCACACTTTTCTCCCTTTCTCGCCCTTTCGCTCTTTACACTCGGAGCACGACAAAAACAACTATATATTACTAGTCCATAAACACCTCTAATTGCAACGTCAATATCTCTACACATTTAGCGTTCTCTTTTCAAAAATTAATGCCTGCTACCTTTCATAAATAACGAGGTTAAAGCAGGAAATAGCAATTTTTGAAATGTTCCCAAGTTTTGCTAGTAAGTTTAATTTTTTATTGGTTGTAAAAGTTGCAGATTTAAGACTGCTAATCTTTAATGGCTTCCCGAGAATTTTTTTATTAATCCGATGATTTAAGATAACTAAATAGTAGAATAAATTTTAAGTTGTTTTTGGGTCGGCGAAACTCGTTGTAATTGTCATTCGAACACTAATATTTACCCCACAGTGTAATTGTTCTTCGTCCTAAAACAACTTCGTTAATTTCGAGCAACATTTTATAGCAGGCGCCCAACCCTTTCTTCTCGCGATTTGTTACTTTAATTTAATTCGAGCCCCTTATGTTACAGTTATCTACTTTATTTGCAGATTATTTTTTTACTTGCAAAGAACCTGAAAGTTATTTGAAATGAACTATAGTTTACGTTTAATCTACACTAGTATAGCTTTTTAAAAATATTTGGAACTCCTGAACACCCTGTAAGTATTGATACATTTAGGTAGTAAATGAATATTTATTTCAACTAATTATGTCATAAATGGTGGAAACTGATTCTAACTTATTATCTAAAAACAAGTATTATAAATGTAAATTATTTTAAAATAAAATTAACTCATATACATGAATAATAGATAAATACATATTAATTCTAAAACTAATTTGTGTTGATTTAACATATTTGGGTAAATACGTAATGAATGGATCAATCGTCAAAAAGTTTTAACAGTACATTTCACAAACATAATTATTTTCTAAATAGGTGCGTTTTCAAGAAAAAATGTTAATTCAAAACTTATTTAAATCGCTTTAATCCAACGTTAAATTTCATTTTAATGGCCGATGAATAAAGTGCAAACGTAAAATTAAAATATCAAATGAAAGAAGTGCTCGAGCAAATGAAGCAACTTTGGAATTCAGAATGAATTTTCTTAATATTTCATTTAAAATCTATAGCTGCGAAGTTATGAATTCAATAATTTTGAAGCTTTCCCAAAGCCATAATTAAAAAATTCAATATTCACTAAAAGAATATTTTTGTAGCTATAATTCACAAGGTTTTATCTTCGTCATAAATAAAAGCTCCCTAATAATTAAAACTTTTTTCTCGCTCACAAAAAGATGGGACAATGTCCCAAAAGCTACGAATGAATTTAACCGGGATCAACCCTCCGCATCTACAGGACTAAGGACCAAGGACGAAAGACGAAGTATTACCGGCATAGCATTGCATCCTACTTTTGCTAGGGTGTGACAAATATATTCCATTAACCGGAAGAGTTGACATTACTTTTTTTAAATTAAATATACGAATTTCAAGAAAAATCCTGAAAATTAAATGTGTTATCCTATAATTGATATTTTGTGTCGCAAGATTTTAAATCGTATGGAAATTCGGCCCTGATATCACCGAGAGCACTAGCTCATTTTTATGCTGAACCGGAGAGTAGAGCAACCCTTTTCAGATTATCGCACCCCAGCGTGATTCACTATTTACATCGTTGTTTTCTGTTAATAATTCTATTCTATTCTATTCGGATTTCTTCCCCTTAGTCAGCACTATAAAAGTTTCGTATAGTTTATACCATTCTCACAATCGCAAACAACGTAACGGGATATACGTATTCTATAAAATAGGCTACAAAGAATTTTATGAATGTTTATTATGTAGTTATTGATTTAGATTTAAAATTTGGGAAATTTGGGGCGCAGCTTGAACGTTTGTATCAATTTCGAGTTAGCAGTAGCTCTGCATCGATTTTCACAATCGATTTTCCATTTTTAAGGGCAAAGGGATAGTTTAACGACCTGTTTTGTCGCACGCTTCTCAAAAAACGTGAAGGAGTTGTGGACGTGACATATTTCGAAAACGTTAGGTTGAACAAACTTTTGAAATATACGAGCATATACATATAACATCAGATATGCGTATTTTTAAAAATCGCCCTTAAACGCAAATATGGAAGCCTTCGATTGAAGAGTAATGTATTTATAATGACTGTCTTTTATTTCGTTGAATTTTTTTTGGTTTATTTGTAATAGAATATTTTGTTAAATATTTTCAATGTTTAATTATTCATGAATTACTTTCTAGAGCAAATAATAGCTGTTTCTAAAACAACGTGAATATCCCCGATGAATTATACCAACCGAAGAAACGGCATAGAAATACTTAATGTATCCTGAATAGTGTTTTAAATAACGGTAGGGGATTTTCGTGAAACTAAACTACTATAAATTTTCCCGAAAGCGCGCTTGTTTAAAGAAATTGATGTAGTCAAGACGAGAATGAGACAAAAACTCTATAATAGGAACCGTTTAAAAGTTTTGAATGCCGTTGCAAGTAAAAAATCGTTTAGCTGAACTTTTCGCACATTAAACATTCGTTCATTTTTCTACACTAACAAAAATTTTACCACCAAATCTATTTCTTATTAACTCGCGATAATTAAAAATTAGCCTTCGTAGTTATATCCAAAATCATAAACTAGACGAAATATATATGTCGGTATTAAAATTTTAAGTAAATTTTTGATTAAAAACTGTTATGAATATACTACATATTAAAAAAAAATCGATGAAACGAAACGGGCGATAGTGCAGTGTGCACGACCGGAATTACCTAGCGCTATAACCAACAGAGACAATTTAAAATTCAATCTTGAACATTTTCTGGTTAAATTCCCTCCAAGCAATATGTGAAAGCACTTTAGAATAGAAGCCACGAATCATATAAAGAGGGGTAGTCTGGGTAACATAAGGTATTGTATCGGGGATTACATTCTGTTGGTGTGCAATAATAGGGAAAGTTACTTAGGAAACTGTGCACGGCTCCGAATCTTTATACTAGTTTGTAATTCGGCTCTAATTGTAGGTAAGTATAATTGTTCCAGATAATAAACGAAACGGTTTATTTCGATGTCGCACCATTGCGGTAGGAGTAAAAATTTATTTCGATACTTTCCAGGATTGTACCCGACATAAATATTTAATTTATCTTGATACCATTGCACTAAAAAATTAGTATAATTATAATTTCAAATTTTATAACTATTCTTCTAATCTTCCAATTAATCTTTTTCGCATATTAATTAATACACCGAATAAATGAAATACCTTTCAAAGACTTATAATGCACCGCAGCTTTATTAAATTTTTCATATTTAAATAAATAAAATGATTATACTTATTTTAAATGGTCTTAAGTTTTCCGTTTCATTTTTATTGTTATTGGTAAAAATTAAATGCCGATTCTGTACTTTCCCCTTTATGCTTTCTCCCTCGAGGACTTCCTTCTTCTTTGTCGCCAAAATGGCACTGTCTGAATGAGAATTTAAAGGCAAACGATTATTATATTATATTGTTAGTATCAGCAACGATAATCTGTTCGAACGTGAGGAGAGAACTTAGGCTCGTGCTGGGGAGGTTAAACGTTTAGGCCGGTGCAATTTTCTTATTATTATTTATTCTAAAAAAAAATACAATTACGCATTAATTTTTCACATTTGCCTATTTATCATCCGGTATATGTATTTTAACAAACTGTATTTACAAATTCACGACAACATAAACTAATGCTTATATTTAGATCTAGCTTGTAAACACCCCATTTGTTTATTTGATCCATCCTGCATAAAATAACACATTATCCGTTGGAAATAGCGAATGGTTTAAGTGTGAAAAGCACAAAATTATTATTCAACACTTCAATATGCTTGTATAACCTGCTTTTATGTAGTACCTATCTATAAAATATTTTTTGGGTTATATTGTTGCCCGTAAAATCAGCCACAAAGGCGAATTTTAACTAGCAACAATTCGACGATGCTTCAATCGTTTTTGTTATTTTCATTTTTACAGGATTTTTCAGCCTAGACGTTGTTAGTTGATGCTTTTGTATGCTCGTATTCGCGTAATTTACTAACGCATGGTTTTGAATTAGGATTTTTTAATTATTCATTTTGAGAAGGGTTCAATTCGTTGTTAAATTCTTTATCTGAACGTGTATTGATTTACCATTTCCATCATCTGCTTTTTCATTTACAGACAGTTTTAGAGCATTTAGAATAAAATGAATCTCACAAATTTTTCCAGCTCTTACTTATAAAACGTATTTACTGCGCACATTAATGAGCGGTATGTGGTGACAAAAGACATAAATACCTTGTGTACTTAACGAATAACTCTGAAATATTTCTTTACTTGCTTTACACAATAGAGATCAATAAACTGAATAAACATAGACAAAAACCTGAACAGCCCACTTGACCAGAATTGTTGAAGAACAGAAAAATAGCAACATAAGACTATGATTTACAAAACGTTTATTATACATGGATATTGTCCCCTATAACCTTATTAAGTTTGGCACAACCTTTTTGGAAAACGCTGTATAAAATTCTGTGCAATATCATAATCTAAATTCAATTCAGTTATTATCAAAAAATGCTATTGCATATAAAATTTTCCTGAAAAGCATTCTTTATTCACGGTCATAGAAGCACAGGCCCTGACGTATAGAGACAGCGATACATAAAATCCCATAACTGTAATCGTTACTGGCAGTCCGCTAAAAAGAAAACGAATCCAATAAAATAAATGTCGTCATATATTGTGGAAAATGTAAATAGAAGATGGAACACTGTGTTCAGATTGTGATAGGTAGGTATATGGGTATTAGTTCGTCGGATATAGAATAGGGCGGGGAAAGTTATTGGGGATGAAATAATTGATAGCGAAGTGTTTTATCCCCGACAGGTTCGGAATTATTGGAAATTTAGTTTGTACATTTTTTAAAGTATTAAATGTTCGGCTCATCTCTGTAATTAATTGCAAGAACTTTTAAATAATTAAAAAAAAAATCTATCCGCAACTGTCGATCGATGCGTTTCATTATGGACGAATATAATTCGAATGTATTGCAATTAAATAAAATTTTGTATCGGTTTTGCAGTTCAAATATAGCACACTACAAAGCGGTATACAATCCAACAGGTGGGTATTTTGTTGTCCGATGATGGTGTACGTATGAAAGCATCATTCAAAATTATGTTTCACGTTTAAAGCATCATATTTTAACCGTCAAAACATTAAACGGTACAACGAATTTAGCATGTGAACTTCATTAATATCAGTCATTTATTACTGGAATTCAGGGACTTAATAGGACGTTATTACAATTTAATTAATCGATAAGAGAATGTTATTATTAATTTATGGGGACAAAAAAATAATAGATATTTAATTATTAATATATAATATATTAGGCATTATTTTTTTGTACGATATTATATTTATTAAAATTGTTTGCTAATATTATAACGGTGTTTGAAATGCAATAAAAATGCGTACATATATGTACCTACACTAAAGGAGCAAATATGAATGTTAAGAATAGAGTTAAGTGCAGCGAGCATAACTGACCGTGGAACACAGCACACAAATGGCACAAATCGATGGCAATTAAAAGTCGAATCTCGTGAAGTAGGTAATAAACGCAATAATTACGTAGCGAAATACGTCGGCCGGTCGTCATGCGAGAAAGAGGAACGAACGTGCGGCGTAGCTCGATAAAATGCCCGCTCCAGCTCACAACTAGCTAACATTTTTTGTTTGTTTTTCTTCCCCTGTAAACAACATGCATGCAACAAGCCCCTTACCCCACCGGTCTTCTTGCTTTAGTACAAATATACTACAGTATTGATTTATTTACCCCATCCCTAACAAACAGTACTGTGTATGTAAGGAAATACAGTTGTGGACAAACATTTCGTTCTCCATCGCATGGAAATGTTCATTAGGACTCTCGCATTCGTTAACGATAACGTGTTTTATGAGAAAACAGCGCTCTTTGAATATTCAACGTTTTTCATTTTCTTACCACTCGGTTTACTGAATATGGTGAGTGTGAGATCGAAACTTTTGTTTTTCGCGCGTGCACGTGTTTCACTGTGACGTCACTTATCATTTACGGAATGCCAGAGTTTGTAAGTAAACTTTTCCAAATTTTATTTTTTTGTTAAATAATAATTACATAATTGTTTGTACACACTAAATTGGTACCTACTTATTATTTTTTTTTCTTGACCTATTTTAAAATTTTAATATTACCTATATATTTACAATAATTTGGGTAGCAAAGTTTTGGATCTTTACATCATTGGTACATCAAAAACCATAATTATTGTGTTGCACAATTAAGTTGAATCTAATAATTCAGCTACACAAATAACTTTGAACCATTTAATATTATTGACAATTACTGTTATAATTAAAAAAAAAAGATTTCGTGTCCTGGATAATGAATACGTAATGATTGAAAATTAAAAAAAAAGTATTACTTATAAATAGATTATTTGAATATTTAAAATATAATCAATGAATATTATTAGAATTAGATTTCGTGTTTTCAATATTTTTATTGACGCACAAAAAAACTAACAAATTTACCACTTAAATATTACCTCTATCATATTAGTAGTTCATCCACTTAAGCTAATTGAAAGGAATATACCAACAAAGAAAGCACTTTTTTAATAATATAAAAGTTGTTACCTTTACATTAACATGCTTTATTAAATTAGATTATTCTATTATAGCAGTTGTACTAATTTGCAAAACAAAATTAGAGCTCACCAAATTGCACTTTAAGTGGACATTGCACAGAAATTAAACTGAAATTTAATGCCGCGGCCGTTCATAATGTTAGATTGAAAACAATGGGACCTCCAATCTTGGCCCTTTCTCCTTGCTCTCGCCCAAGAAATAGCACGGCAAGTCAGCAAACTTAAAGCCAACTTAACTTTAACAGCAAAGTAGTTAGAAACGTAAAAGTACAAATACGACGGTAGGTCTCTCGAGACAGCGAGGTCGTAGGATATTTACACACATTGTTTCAGAGGAGGAACAAGTTGTGCGAGACAAGGATACATAAAGGGTGTCGATTGCAGGTTCGGATTTCTATAATTTATGAGGAAACCATAGCACTTGAAGGAAATTAACTTGAATGAACATTATTGGAGTGGAGTTTAACTGAACATGACTACAAATAAGCAAATAGGGGGTAAAACAATGATACAACTTCATTATTGAAATAGAAAAAAATTGAATACGTCAAGAATATATGAAGAAATTTATTATATTGAACGATGAATGAATTTAATGTTATAAATTATTATCATAACAAATTTTAAGAAATGAAAAAAATATATAAATGGACATAATACTAATAAACATATTTTAGAATTGGATAAATCCAAAATCCGACTCTGTCGATACCGTTCCAAACACATATTCTCTTTCTCCAACTCTAAGTTTTCGTGAAGTTTTGGAGTCGTGTAAGTAAACGGCTTTCAATATACATGTCGTTAATTTAGACCGTGGCCATAACCCTCTCGTTCGCTGAGAGAGATTGTACTCCAAGTTGCTACTTGATTATTCCCTTAGGCCTCAGATAATTGTGTAGTAATAGCAAGAAGTACGGAGCAATCCTGCCTCGAATGTCTTATTAAATAACTTGTTCAGGTAGATCTAAACTGATCGGGTGTAATTTTTGCCGTCAAAAGTTATGGCGACATTCATTTTAAATTGCCACGATTTCGCGATTTTCCCGACTAGTTGATACAAAGTAGAGGAATTTTAGTATACCGTTCCGTTCGAGCTAAAAATCGCATAATGTCGCTTCGAAAACGATTGTTATTGTATTTAAAAAACAATTTCCATTAAGACCATTCCTTTCCATCGCGAGCCGCTTGGTATTGTTCGAGATTCTAATTAAAGGTTATGACTCTCTAAAATTATTGTGATAACTTCTAGAGAAGATTGCGGAGAACATTAAAATTTACGATTGAAATTCGGTGCGTGGCTTCGGCCGCGGCGTGGTGTGGTCTGGTGGTTTGGTTGAGCAACTTCCATCTCCGGAGTAATAGCCGTGTCATTTGTTTGTACAGTCGAAGATTCGCCATTCATAATTAGCTCGCCGGATTGTCTAATTGCTCTTCGGCTAAACTCGATTTGCCTGCTTATATTTTAAACCCACCTAATTGCCAATATTCTCAAAATTTCTTTGATATTTTTTTTAATTACAACAATCATTATATTTAATGCATACACTCAATTTTGATAATGCAAAGCTAAATGAAAAGATAACATGGAAAACCTGATAGAAAAAATAAAATATTTTTTCGACGAGTCGTCACTGTGCGAAATAAAATTTTAGAACAGTATCAATTTATTAGTCCTGTCGGAAAGTGTTAAAGTGATTCGTAGGCAAAGGGTGCGTGGTTTCAATCATCGAAACGTGAAATATCCGTCTTCGAAATTACGGCAATGGCAATATATGGGCAATGTGTAAGTTATGACAAATTGTGGACATCCGGTCAGCGAGTCCCTAAAGGGGGAATAGGGAAAAGGCTAGCTTGTCAAATCACATGAATGACCTCATCAGAACGGGGACTGTTTGTCAACTTTTGGCTCTAGCGTACCTTTTGATTTGAGTTAGGAATATGGAATTTGGAATTGTGCATTCCAGCCGCATGTTGATTTTCCCAATAAAATCAATCCTTACGCATCAAGATGCAAACTCCAACGGGACCCCTAATTCGATGCGACATCATGCACCAGTGCCGGCACTTTCAAGTGAATCTATCCCGGTAAGTTTAAAATAAAATGAGAGAATCTTATGAATTTTTAAAAGAAAATCGTCTCTAAAAGTGGATTTTAGACGAAATTATCATAATACATTTTTTTATTTCCATCGATCGGTCGTTCGACATTGAAATTCACTTAATCGCACAATTTATTTTCTTTTTTTTTATTCCTAATAACGTGAGGTGGTCGTATTTCGGTTTTTCTAATTTTTTATCCCCGCCCCGTAACGATTGGCTGCAAATTGATAAACTTTTATTGGGAACGCTTGAGCGTGAGGCTGTTTAGCTTTTGTCTGAGCGAAGAATTTGTCGTAATTTCCTTCGTTTCTGCATAGAAAACTTCGCGGTGTCAGACATCATCGGCGAAGCGTGTCATTATAAAAACACGAAAGAACATTAAAACGCCTTGGAAACTTTTGACGATGGTTACTTCATTAGGGTTGGGCGGGCTTAATCGCTGTTATGCTATCCGCCTCGGGGTTAGACCGCCACCGTTTAGAAGTCGGTATTTTCTTCTTCCCACCACCGAAAGTAATAACAATCTACACCAAAGATTATAAGAAGTTTCAGCCAAAAATACAATGCAACTTTAACTTTGGAATTATTCGTATTTACAAATCCCGAGACGTCTCGAAATGAAGATTTTTAATTGAGATTTTCGCCTGAGATATCCAATTACAATTTAGATTTTAAATTAGCGTCATTTAATCTTTTGCATATTCGCTAAACTTACACTGCAAAGTTTTGCAACAAATAAAATCTTTAACAAATAACAATATTAAAATATAACTGATGACAATAGCATTAAAATATTATTTAGGAAAAAAACATCTGTTAAGTGTGATTTTGTACATTTGTGAATAACACATTGGCACAGTATTGTTTTCTTAGGACTGTTTGTAGTTTACCTGTAAAGACACATTGGAAAAAGTTTCGAATAAAACTATACCATTTCCGAAACTGGATATCAAAATACCCTTGCAGCACTCGGATTCAATTTGTTTATAATAGAATAAGGTGGCACTCAAGGGAGGACAATAAAAACAAACCGATAAAAGCAAATCCTTTATTATCGACAGACTTCGTCAGCTTACTTCGACTGTTTATCCTCTTTTGAAAGTTCCCCCTGCAGCGGCTTCCGCCGATATACTTTTAAATAATACAATTTCAACTTGGCCAATTCTTTATTTCATCCTCATTGTTTTCGTTATTTATTAAATACAAAAACGGCATTCGATAACGATATAGAAGGAGAAAAGGTTGTTTTTCTTTTGCGGGACAATGCCTGCCAGAGACATTTATCCTTCAATTTATTTTTATTTCGTAAATAGATTCCTCGATTAGGGAATAATGAAGGAATTAATCTGTTTTTTGCTTCTTTGTATAAAATTAAATTTATGCAGGCAATTTTGTTTTTGTTGAACAATAATTTATTCATTTGTACCACTTGTACAATATCTATCATTATTGTAATTTTCGTATTGGCAAAATTTGGAGAATTGTTAAAATTTTATTTACAGTTTCCTCAAAATATTATCAAATCTAATTAAATTTACGTAATCAGTATATCAGCAATTAACGAATCAATATCAAGGTGTTTATTAGTAAATACTTTAAAATGACAAATAAATATAGATATTAGTTATTTTGTTCAGTTTATTATCGAAAAAAATTGGATTTAATCAGTTAATTTCCGTTACGTACCTATATTTTTGAGAAAATTTTATATCATTTATCTATGTATTTGTAAACTGATGTAATAGCAATCCTATAGAAGTAGTTTTTATATTAAAGACATTAAAGTGTATAATATGTAAGTATATGATTGTAATATCACAAATACAACAGGTATGTTACATTGAAATTGACAATAAATTCAATTTCGGATTAAACGAACATAAATTTTTGTTATATCATTTTGAAGTGCTAACAAGGTCATCTTGAATTCGAGATCTAGTATTACATTGCTTTCTTTACTATATCCCATCTTTATTTGATAAATACAACAAAATAATAATAATAGATGCTTGGCCTTCGCTTTATCTTGAGTAAATATATTTAGTGAGGAAAAAACTGTGAAGAAAACAAAATCGTTCCTTGATAAGTGTCTAGATATTAACAGAATTTATTTATTTAATTTAAATGACAAAGATTTTAATTTTATTCGCTGTTACATAACTTAGTTAAGTATATGTAGGTAATCGATATAGTACATGTATGTATAGTACATTGCATTGTATAATAACGTAAAATGTACCTATTGGATTATTTAATTCAGCCTATATTAATTGCATTTTTAATATCCATAGGTACAAAAGTACGAGTACTTTTACATAATA